TCTCGTCGCTGGTGTCGCGCCTTCCCTCTCGGTGTAACTTTCCCACCGCGCGTGAAACTTCCGAGCCCACGTCGCGCCCCTGCCCGACCGCCCGACCGCCGACCCGTCCCCCAGCCCCGGAGCCCACCGCCTCTTTCTCCCCTTCTTCCGGCTTCTCCAGCTCTGTGCCGGTCCTGCGTCCGCCTCTTTTCGAAATCGCCCGGACGCTTTACCTCAAAGCGGGTCAGCCGCCTTCCCAAAGCGAGAGGAAGAGAGTGCAGGAGGTAGAGGGTGAGAAGCCAGGCGAGAGAGAGAGAGACAGAGAGACAGAGAGAGGCGTGCGCGCCCACGCGCGCCCGCATCACTCCAGAGGGTGCTCTGCCCTCCCCCCCTTAACGCGTGCGCGCGCCCGCCCGCAAACACACACACACACACACACGCACACAGTGCTAGGTCTTTTGGACTGCAAGACAAGTTATTAGGACGCGGTGGTCCGCGGGGGGGGGGTTTCACGGCGGAGGGAGGGAGAGGTGGATAATGCGACCCCCACTGAGGGGAACGAAAAGGGTGCAGTCTTCCCAGCTTCACCGGTCTCTGGTTCAGTCAAAAGTGATCAAAGACTCTGGCCACTTCACGGAGCCCAACGCTTCTGGCTGACCCGGAACGTGAGAAGCGACATGCCTCTGAATACACGTGTGTAGAATTGAAGGGAAAGATCCTAACCCTGGCCGTTTAGAATTGTAGCAAATTACGTGCTGTTTCAGCCAACACACCAAACCCCGGATGAAGAGCCCGGTGAGGCAGGCACGTCTGCTGCTTCTGCTCTCCAACACGCCCCTTTATCCGAGCCGAGGTCGTCTTCAAAAAGTTTTGGATCCTGAAATAACGGGGTGGGAGGGAGAAGGAGGAGGGAAGCCTAAAATCCCCACCGCTTCCATGTTCCCGGCCTGCGGCTCAGTCCGACGAAGAGCCCTAACCCTCTCGAAGGCCGACACCCTTTGGCCACGGAGAAGCCCTCCTAAACTAGGCGACCGCCGGCACCGACCGCGCAGGCACCGCCACCCGTCCGCCCGCCCACCCTTCCCCGCCGTACCTTTGTGCCGGATGCTCCTCTTCCAGTCCTTGGCGGTCTCCCGGCCGCTGACGAACTGGAACTCGTTGGGGGTGAGCCACTCGCCCCGGTAGCGAATGGAGGGCCCTTTGCTGCCCTGGCACAACTTATTGATGTAGAGCAGAGCCTTGTTCTCCCCGCACTCGACCTCGATGCAGGGCTCGCCGTTGTCAAAAAAGGGCTGGAAGTCCGGGATGGAGGAGAAGCGCTCGAGCATCAGGTCCTCCGGGAGAGGGTGCGGGTGGG